GTTATTCACTCCACCTGTCAGTGCTCATAATGTTATGGCTGATTGGTGTATACAATACATGTACCTATACATTTTGATGTGCAGGACTTTTACTTGTAATGGAGTATTTTTTGCATTGTGATATTGCTGCATTTACTTTAGTAAGAGATCTAAAAACCTTTTCCGTCACTATCCCTTGCAGTGTTTTTTCATTGGTCTATTTGAAGTCAAATATTTACCAGTGACGGAAAGGAAAATATCTGGTAAAAATTAGGTGTTGTGATATTTCCCAACTTAATGAGTTGATGAGGATCGCCTGAACGCACCATTATGCAATTGACCAGCGCACAATGGATTATTGGATACTGAGGGGTGCAAATGATACACCAGCTGTGTCCTCCAAATTCCTGCTATTAAATATTTGAAATGAATCTCACAGTTATCCCTGCCTCCCCTCAGTGGTGTATTATAGTATATGTGTTAACTGCATCCTGCTCTTTGCTGCAGTGTTTATGACTGCTGCTGCTGCTGATGGATCCTCCAGAGAGCCTTTCTAGACACTAAAAAATGAAATGCCTCAGATGTGGATCAGTAGTTTTTGTGGAAATATTAAAGAAACGGCATGCTCACTTTGGTGTGAGCCGAGTCTTACCCCACTGCACCGCTAACAGCTCTTTCAAGTCACGTGAAATTAAATTCAACCTTGTTAACTGATTCAACTAATCAGAACATGCAAGAGAACATTTTACCCTCCTGAAAAGCAGCATATTCTATGTATCACCTGACCAGAAAATGCATTGTACCAGCAGTACCACAACTTTCAAAGTAACAGTGGTAGCAACGTAGTTCAACCGTGAGCACCCTGCTTCCTCTCCTGAAGACACCCCGACTGTGAATTAATTCTCTGTGAAGACGACAGAACTTGTGGCACCTCAAATTTATGTGCAGAGCACTTTTGAACTTTTGAACTCTCTTCAACAGTCCTTCCTCATTTCGTGTCCTGCCTCGGTAGCTTGTTTGAAGTGGAAATGGACTGAATTATGGAAGCAAGACTCCATTGAAATGCTTTATGATTTGGGATCATTAGATAGGATTTCCGACCTGGCTGGAGTAGACCTTATCGTCAGGACCATAGAAAGAACCGGTTGTTGGTCTTAAATGTTTATTTTGCATAATAAATCATATCGACATGTATAATCAGATGTGAGAAGTGTTTGGTGTTGTTTTTATGCAGTTACAAATCAGAGATGACTTTACAGCCATATTAAAAAAAGCACTGCCTTTTAAATAGTCTCGAGCTTCTGTGAAAGCTTCCTGCAGATCAAAGTCTGATCTATTATTAAACTGTCCTGAGACAGACAGCAAGAGAGTTGGCTAATATTTATTTATTGGACTGGAGGATACTTGACACATAAATACATTTAGAAACTGGATGTTCAGTGTTGTACTCAAGTGGTGCTTGCATTAGTTTTCTGGCACCATGCAGCTTCTAAATTCATGATTCACCATCAATGACTCATTTGTCAGCTTCTCAGGAACCAGCTGACTAGAAACGTCCAATCACATTTGCACAGGTGTAAAGGTGGCCTTTATAACCTTGTATATGCCCACACATAGCCAATACCGCAAGTGGTGATACATTTGTTAGACAATAATAACTATTTGCATATACTTACTATTATATTGCAAACAAACAACTTCGTATTTTCCATCGTTGAATACCAGAAGGTAAAAAGGTAATGCACGCACATATCTTCAAGAAAAAATGTGAATGATCTCAATTTCAGCAATTTATTCTTTTACATGGCCTAGTAGCCTTCATCAAAGCATGGAAACCCTGTATTCTGTCCCAAACTGTTCCTAAAGTACTGTACATCACAGGTTTTTTATAATCATCCAAGTAGAATTGCAGCCCTTAAATGATCATATAATGAACGATATTACATTAAAGGGACTTCAATCTCACCTAAATTACATCACAAAGTCTTTCTATCTTCAGGCAAACCAGTCAACCTGCCTGTTTATGTATCTAATAATAGGTAATGTACCTGAATGTAACTATATGCACATAGCAACACGCCCTTTAAAGTAGATAATAAAATATGCTGTTTGCCCATACACTCTAGAATGACACATACAGAACAAGTATTTTACAATCTGCTCCCTAAGTCCAGACACTCAGCAAACAAATGTATTTCCTAACGCCCAGAAGTAACCCATAATACAACAACAATGCTAAAATTACATGTGCAAATAATATGCTAAAAATTTAAATTACATGTGCAAATTGAGCAGGGTTATTTGACAAGGAGTTTTTACTCTTATTGCACTTCAACCTTGGTACTCCGAATCTTCGGCCTGAGGGAAGAGTTTAAACTCAAGGTACAGGGGGTGGTTTATACAGTCCAGTATAGACCTGACCTTCTGGAGAACCTGCTGATCAAAGATAGCCCTAAGGGGGTTGTGTGGGACCTTTTCAGCCACCTTAACAAAGTGGTTGTAGAGTCTTCTTAGGCTTATGTTCAGGTTACAGTACGAAGCAATAGCAGAACAAGTAAGAACAGATTCAATAAAAGATGTATAAAACAAGGTCATCATTTTCCTGTCCACATTAAAACTCAACTTGGCTGGCAAAAGCAAAGATGAGAGGAAAAAGTCCTAATACTAATAAGTTCAGTTTTGAGATGATGAGGAGACAGTTTGAATTTTGCTCTTTAGTCTTGATTCATCACTTTCTGTACGCAGAGAAATGCTCACACCCAACACGAGAACCTCATTTGTAGAAATTGGGCAATTCCACAGTGTCTCAGTCAGTGGAGATGTAATTACTTTTCATTTTGTTGAAGTCACACATAATTTAAACTGCCAAGATGGGAGTTCTTTAAATGTTTCCTGGTTCAGCGTTATGGTATGGAGGAGAGGAGTCCATTTATTTCTCCCCATAAGTTCAATTCTGTTAAGTTTGAGCTTTCATTGTTACCTGGTATGCGCTTATTCAAGCAGTGACAACTGTCTTAAATCCAGACAGTCTCTAGTTCCTGTATTTCCCTGGACATCAGCAGTGTCAGAAAAGACCTTTGAAAACGTCCCAGTGTCTCTGTCTCACATTGTTCTCTCCCTAATCCTGCAGGCGCATTGCCAAAGGCGTCTCTGTGCTCACCCATGGGGCGATGGCTCTCCGGAGGGACCAGGGGGCCACCAGCCGGTCACAGTACGCTGGCAACTGCCAGAGCGACGGCAACCAGACCCATAGAGTGCCAGACAGAATCAGGTGAGCGGGAAAAAGAGGAGGGGGCAGAGGGTGACTTTGAATTTCGATGTCATTCACACCAGCTTCTGACACACGGCAGAGTGAGTGAGCAAACAGCAGAACAGTGTGGAAAAGTAAATAGTGGCAGGCGGCTTTAATGAAGCTTCCAGATTCAGAGCAAATCCAGAGAGCTGAGTCATTCTGGCCAGAAACGGCTGGTTTGTTTGATGTTCTGCAGATACAACAGCACATGGTGGCGAGTGAATCCTGGAGTCCTGTGTTACTGCTCCTGTGCTGGCTACATATTTAAAGGATAGATTAATCATGATCATGAGTTCAAACTAATGTTTTTCTTTCATTAGCTTTGCATATTGCACTGCTACTGTATCTTATAATGAAATACCATCACACTGAGAGCTTATTGATTCTGCAACTCAGCAACACTGGTTCAGGGTCACATTCAGCAAAACATAGACCGACATTGTGGTGCATTCATGTCCTGTAGAAAAAGGACTGGTGCTTGTTGCCACTATATGAATTAATAAGTGCAGTAGTCTGTGTCCTCACAATGAAAGTGATATCTGAAAGAACTTCTCTGCATTTTCAAGGCTGTTGCATATCAATCACTTCTCTGTTGGTTTTGTTTCCATCACTGACGCAAAAGAGTAAATACACCTCAAAAAAGCACATACCTTTGAGGGAGGATGTGGCGCTCAAAGGTGTGTCCTTCAGAGGACTGAAGGCCGGGCTGAATCTGCTCCTCAACCACAAATTGGACTGTTTGGCCTCATGTAAAAGAAAACTGTGCTTTCGGACGCCCCTATTCAACCTATAATTCGCCAAAACAGAACAGTAGAACCAGTGGCAAGTCCATAATGTTAGAGCTAAGATGGAATTGTGACATTGCACCCAAACATGAAATAGACAACAATAAATCAAACTCTCCAGTTGTGTGTATGAATATATAAATATACTGCTTCGTAGCGACTTTATGTGCTGACAACTAAAAAAAATGTTTTATTATTATAATTATTATAATTATTATGGGATACTGAAGGCCAGAAAGGATGTGCTTGTTGTGTCCAAAATCAGACAAAAGACGGATTCATATTTCGTCTGGATTATGATGCATCTTAAAATGTACACTTTCAAGGTGGCAGACACTAAACTGAGACAGGGCAGATATTTAACCACAACCTGAAACTAAATCTGCTCACTGCACTTTAGTTCACCTCCAGACATTTTTCATGTCACCAGGTAGAGTATCTCCTAAATACCCAAGCACTACATTTACATTTTAGACAATTTGCCCTTCTTACCCAGAGGGACTTTAAATATGTAGAGAGAAAATGAGCAGAGGAGCAGGATAGCAGAAGTCCAACTTTTAACTGTTTGCTTGATTGACTGCTGCTGCTCTTTGGCACAGTCCCCTCTGGGAACTGTTTGGAGAAGTCAGGTTTCTCTCTCTTTTCAGCTGTCAGGGTTACAGGAGCTGTCTGGTAACCTGCTGCTAGACTGACCCTGGAGATTTGTGTTCAAATTTACTAATGCGGATGCACTGAATAATATGCACAAATGAATTGTCTGCAGGAGAGATACAGAATATATGCATGAAGGGCAGTTTGTTGTGTTCCCTTAACGTCCAGGAAAAAACATATCAGAAGACAGAAGCACAAGTGAATGAGAAACCCTAATCTGATAGATGGTGTCAAAATGCCCTTGAGCAAGGCACTGAATCCCTCACTGCTTCATTTGAACTACGAAGAGAGGACTGCAGCTGTGCTGGCTCTCAAATATGAAGATGTGTCTTGCTGGAAGGAAAAAATAAACTCCCAGGACAAATAGGTGTGGAAACAATAGCAGGGCATTATCTGGGATTTTAATTTTAATTTTAAAGGGACACTGCAGAAGGTAAAATTCTTAACTTTCCATTTGTCCATGCAGCAGCAAGAATGTGATGATGAGTATCTGGGCTCATATTTCTATGGTTGTTTTGCCTCATTATTGTTGGAATGCATTGAAAATGTCATTGATTTACTAGTTCACATGAAGTCAGTACTGATGTCAGGCTGCACAAGTGACACCCAAAACAGACTCTGAAGAACATCTGCATAAAAGCACCATACATTTGAATGTGGAAGTGTTCTATTTGAGCCACCAAAAAGACTTGTGAATTTTTGCATCCACTTGTATCTTCCCATTGACTTTATATGCAATCACACTCTCCTTTAAAACTGGATTGGGTTCATGTTGAGTCTGAGCACACTTAGACAGACGTGACTCACTTTTTTGATTCTAATTGATTAATTCATTTCTCTTTAAGGATCGCTGTCACTCAGCTTGAGGGGCTTCTGGTTTAATCCATATCCTCTTCTGACCATGTGTAAGAGTAATACTTAAAGTGAGCTGATGTAACCTTTCTTCAACAGCAACCACTGTGGCAGCATGAGGCAGTTAAAGAATAGTAAATGCTAGAACAAAGAGTAACAGAAGCACACATAGAGGAGCGTTATAAAGTCAATGAACTTGTTTAGTAATGTTTGTCTGACAGTATTACCTACATAAAGTTTGCTAACATTAGCCACCACAAGCTACTGGTCATACAATACCAAGTAAGGCTTTAACTCCAAAATAAGTGAATCGAGCCCAGGTACATTTCATTTTAATATTTTTTTTACTTCTAAGGGGAAGAATGCGTAATTTTTTTCTTTCAAAAGTTATGCAATCTTTCTCTAATGTTATCCCAGAAAACTAAAGTTTGCATCCATTTCCTCTAATTGTATGGGTAGTAAAAGACATTCTGGGAAATGTAGCAAAGTTCTTCCTGAAAGAGATGCAAATGAGGCAGTTTGAAGGAGAGCAGCCACAACATAAAGCTAAATTACAACAGTTAACACCAGAAAATAACAGATTGATGTAGATTTGACAGATTGATAAGAAATCTTCCTTGCACAGACAACAAGTTCGACTGCAGATGGATGGTTACCGCAGGTTGCCTGCCTGCGCTATTTAATGAAGTGAGGAGGTTCATTTTCAACTCGGCAAAACATTTCATGCCCTTCAGAATCTGGCTTTTGAATGCTCTCAATCAGCAGCAGGGCTGTCTGTCATGCTGACAGGCGCCGGGGCTCGTGGGAGTCTCATCGAATGGCAGTGATAGTCCTCACCATAGCAGCATGAATGACACCTGTAACACATGAAGGGTTTTACTCTCAAGGGAGATGAACACCTTTCCAAAAATGGCTCCGTTCTGACTGAAGTGTTGCTGACATAGAAATAAAACTCAATCTTTTGGTATTTTTAACAATTGTGTGGCCTTATTTTAGGAACACTGGGAGCGTCTGAGTTTATAATAATTTATGAATACTCCATTGAAAATCTACCTGTAGAGTATTAAAGGCTCCACTTATCATATTAAAATTCATACCGGGATAAAATCCAGAATTTTTTGTTCACTCACATGTATGCTTCTATTTAGGTGGATCATAAATCAAATTTCCTGGAGTTTCCTTGTCTTGTGCTGGATACAGATCTGTGTAGGCACTACCACAGTCCAACTGAAGCTGTTTGGTAACTGCCAAAAGCACCAGAGAAAGAATAAACAGTTTAGCACGCTAGCTGAAAAACACCTGGATGACCTGCATAGATGGAGTAAGAGCGAGACAAAATATTTGCCCACTGTCACTCACTGGTGCTTGCACTGATCAGGGATTGACTGCTAGTGTTAAAGTTGCTGGAGCTGTAATGTGACAGTGTGAGATGCTAAATTCAGTGTCATTTCAGTTGCCATTATCGCCAGAAAAAGACCCTGTAAGTAGGTACTCATAGAGATTGTGTAGTTACACTTGAGAGGAGTAAGGATGCAGCTTGGAAAGATGGCTGCATTCACACCTTTTTAATATCAAGCTTTAGTGGCACTTCAGGAAGTGGTTTGAGATGAATGTCGTGCACCTCTAACACTTCTCCACTTGGCTTTAGATATCAGATATATGATCCGCCCCAAGGGCATGAAGTTGTAAGTGTAAATATGGTTATTCTGTCCATTAAAAACAGTATTATTCAGTTCTCCATGGTTGATCTGTATGTTTCCTTCACAGCATAGCATGTCATGCTATCACCTTTTCAAACTTCTCCTGGAAATGACATATTTTAGCAGTTATTGGTGTTGTTTGAAATATTGATGCAGGAGTGCAGGAGTGTGGATGTGGATGTTTTCTCACATGGTTCTGGATTACCATTGGAGTCCCCTACAAAGCTTAAAGACCTAAAGATGGGATTTGATAGACAAAAGATCTACTTTTGGTGCATTCCTACTTTTCCAACCATATCACAGGCAAGAACTAGGAGATTGAGATTGAGAAGATGAAAAACTCTGAATTATGTTCAGTTAAGTTGTTTTTTTTTATGACCAGTGACAACATTAATACAATTCTTGTTTTCTGTCTGTGTATGGCAACTACAACATTGTTAAGAATAGTAATCATGATTATGGGGCAAATAAATATGGTTAAGGTATGCTTTGGTTTAAGCAACAAAACTCTTGGTGAAGGTGAGTTTTGCTATGTTAATAGTATGCCTCTGAAGGTTGGCCGTTGGATTTAAATCTGGATGTGTGGAATCGTCCAATGACGTCAGATATTAGTCTGGCTCAACAGTAGAGAAGTGGATAATGCTGCAGGAATGGTTTGAGAAGTTTTCATTAATTGTTTTGGCACCTTTTGTGTTGTGACTCTGGAGTATAATTGGAATCCATTGTAGCGGCTCTGAATCCAAGTTCATGGTAGCTGCTGTCCCCCAGGACAAAGAATGATACATACTTTTGAGCCTACAGGCATTTTTGATACTCTGAAGATAGACTTTGAGCTGCGTGTTCCTTTTAACTCTTGTTGGGAAAGATTTTTGTTTCAAATTCTGATTTTAACCTTGTTTGGTTTCTGAGTTCACAAAAGCTTGTTATTATGGGAATAAAACTCCCCACATGATTGATGTTATTACCTGTTGTGAAGCGCCTGCTAAAATAT